AGCATGGACACATTTGACAAGGCATCTTATAGCCTTACCGAGTATGCGAGTTTATCATCTCGTCGATGGAATTTCGATTTTTCCTCCAAGTAAGTCCAGTTAGTACATTTCGAAACCTCCCATTCTATTTTCAACTTCATGGTCGTACACTTGATCTTCTATACAGCTTGGTCCGATAGTACTATTTCTGTTGTCGTGGATAGAATAGTTGATTTTTTAATCGTCCTTTTTAGGAACCGAATAGGTCTTATGTCTGGCGTCGTTCTCGAGCCCTCCCAACCCGTTGGCTACGTGGAACGAACTTTTCCAATTACCGCGGCTCGCGATCAAGATGACACTTTGACAGTGAAGCGCAGCTGGGACATCGCGCTTGCCCCACTGCGGCAAATTCCAATGAATTTACTGATTATGTGGATGACCGGCAATTCAATATCCATCTTTCCCATTATGATGGTTATCATGATGTTTATGCGACCGATTCAGGCCATCTTATCCATGCAAGCGAGTAAGTTTAGGTAATTTCTGCCGTGTATTTTATACGTTCGATTGTAAGCCCTAGTAAAGACAATGTTCTACTTTTTTGACCAGCTTTCAAGTTGATTGAGGGCAGCCAAGCTCCGATCCAATGCTTTGCGTACCTGTTTGGAAATTTGGTGATGCTTGCTTTGGCAGTGTACAAATGCCACAATATGGGACTGTTACCAACCTACGCGTCGGATTGGCTTTCCTTTGTGGAACCTGCTCAGGTAATCAGACTGGGAACCCTAAATTTTATATAAGTCTGTGAACTGCTTTCTTCTTATACCTCAGTAGACTCGAATTTTTTCAAGACAACTGTAGTCAAGTTCCATATATGAATCAGTCTTCACCAGCATTGCATTGCACATTCTAGCCAATGTGGTAGCGACCTGATACCACCCATTTTCTGCTGTCTGAAAGTAAATCACAGTTTGCTGTAAGTTAACGTACACAGCTGTAACAGACAGAACACCCCTGTCTTCGATTTAACAAAAATCTGATTAACTCTTATGACTTCAGGTTGGTCAAAGATTGATCCATGCTGTTTCTATGTTTAAAGCGTCGTATTCTTATTTATGCATCCATCTAGGTATCCGGGCCGGTGGCCTAGTATACCTTTTAGGAAGAAATTGCGCGTGTAGGACATATCTAGCTAAATTTTTTCAAATACAGAAACATTACAGTTCAATATTCTGTAATGCAAGCGAGGCACAGATTTAAACGAAGTATGGTGGAAGAGTGTGTTTTTGTTCATTTGGCCCACGTCGAAGTTAGTTGGTTGGCTGTCTACTTGCCTTCCCGCTACGGTTCCGTGATGCTTATCATGGGCACAGGCTCTTGGTATAGAACCGGGTAGCCTAGAAGTAATTCGGAAAGTGAAGTTATCGCATTTTAGTTAAATGGTCAACACTCGTCCAGACTTGCACTGGATTTCCTGACGAGCGAGCTTCACTTTCCGAGGGTACTTACCACCACTACAGACATTAGGTCCCTCTTCGGTAAGACCATTTAGTTCTCGCGCATCTTATTTTCTCGCCAGTTTCTAGTGTCTCCTACGTAACTGCAGCCATCAACTTCAGGACTCATTAAGCAGAGGCTTCTGCAGAGTTGGATGTTAAAACACAAACTTTCTGTATGGAGGAGGCGTCTGATGTCTTAGTGGACAGAGGTACCTCGACCGTCGTCGCTTTTGGGCGGAGGATAACCACCTAAAACTCCTCCTCCTTTCTCTCCTATACACACACGCGCCACCTATATCATTTGCGGAATAGGCAACTTTTACTTTCATTACCTAAGATGCTTTCGCCTTATTTTGCAAATTTTCTTTTTCAGCGCGTTGAATGGTCAGCTGGCGGGATCTCCATCGCGTGAGCAAAATTGCAACATTCCGACTGTGTGTTATATTTCTGCCTTCTCATTGTTCACTTTCCTAGTATCTATCCAAAAGTTATCTTAAAAACCCCTCTTCTTCGTGGTCAACAGTGGAGGGAAGGGAATTATGGGTCCTGCCTCATATGTCGTTCACCGTACCTGATGTTGCCCGTTTGTCAAATCCACACGGCCAGTACCGCGCTCCGAGACTGCTTTGATAACTTGACTGTGCCTAGCTTTAACTGCTACGTCATAACCATGTTCTTACAAGCAAACTAAGCACAACACCTACTCGGGTAATTAGTACCAAACTTTTTTAGATTGAGAGACTGGGCGCATAAACCGGACGATTTCACCACTTCTGCCCTTGATGTATAAATTAATAATTTGATTATGTTCGAGGTAGCCAATGCGGGCCTCCACACTTAATCTTCATCTTCGACCAGTACCTTTCAATAACTTCTATTGTGGGCCATGTACAGAGATCAAACCATACGGTGCCATGTTTGAAGTGCGTCGGCCTGTCGTATACCCTAAGATAGAGTGGAAGATGGAAGATATTCACGAACAATCATGTCCTTGAAATCTTGTGCGTCTGACTCTCCTACAGTAACTATTTCCTTGGGCCGCGTTCTAAACGTCATGGCTTATTCGGATATA